AAGTTTTTATATATACAAGAATCCAGTTTCCTGTTTACTCTGCATTTGCAAGGACTATAAACAAATCACAAGGCTGTACGCTTCAAAAAGTTGGAATTTGGCTCCAAAAAGAAAGATTTATGCATGGCCAGTTGTATGTTGCATGCTCAAGAGTAAGAAATCCTAAGAAATTATTCTTCAAAAAAAAAAAAAAAGAAATTTTCTTAAAAATATTGTTTACCATGAAGTCCTATAAAATGAAAGAAATTATGTAACACTGTATCCTCACCCCACTGAACCCACGCACTCCACAAGACTGGCTGTTAGTCCAGTATTACAGGTTAGACACAAGTCTCCGATTCCCAATGACAATTTATGAAAGCTAATTTGAAGCCAGCCTCCAGCCACATTGTGATTGTTTTGATCCTGGAGAGTGGTCATCAGATCGTAGAAATCCAGAAGTTCTCCATTGGTCCAGCTGTGTGTTCGTCAGGTGAGAATCAGGTTAACAAAAAAATAAATATAACCAAGTTGATTTGATTTTGAAAGGACAAAAGTTTTTATATATATATAAAAGCAAACACAAAAAAAAATTCTTGTTGCACAAGGTTGAATGTTTCTTGTATGTGAACAATAACCAAACAAATACTTTGAATAATTTCAGTAAAGGAGAGATGTGGCCTTCGTTTTAACCTTTTTGGGTCTGTTCTTAGCACAACTACTACAACCTTTGGTGTTCCTGTTCTCAGTGGTAGTAGCAGGAGTAGCGGTACTTAGATGTTAGCAGCAGTATTTTACTTCTTCGCTTCAGCTTCAGCAACACACAGCAGATGCTTCCTTTTCAATTTCTGACATCTTTCCACTCAGTTTGACTGCATTCGAAGACAGATGAACCCAAAAACTCTCCCTCTCCTCTGGTTGGCTCGCCTCTTTATTAAGAGAACAAGCCTAATGGGTCCCAGGCTGGTGACATATCTGTTTTTCTAGTGTGAATTTACTGACATACTACCAAAGTACAACTTCACACCTTCGAGAATAAACAATTTTTTCACCAATTGGTTTCCAAGGTTCACAACAAGATACTATTGTTTATCACTTTGCTATTAATTATTCTGCCACTCTTTGTAAACTACAGAGATTCTTGTTTTAAAAATAATTTCTAGATCAAAACATCCTTAATTTTAACTTCAATTCTGATAGGGTCAAAATTCATTTCCCTTTTTTTAAAAGTTCCAAATTATTATTGTTCCAGTAATTTTCTATTAGTAATCTGATATCCTTTGTACACTTACAAAAAGATTGTATTTCGTGTTCTAAATTAACTTCCTGTAACATTTACATTTCAAAGTCTTTACAGCATATTAACATCTTGGTTATTTGAAAACATCTCTCTTCCACTTGGTGTTTTCTGTTTTACATTATATTCTCTTTTATTATCATTATTATTATTTCAGGGGTGATATTGCCCCTGCCACAATTATTAAACTGCAAAGTAGGGTTTTTGTCAAGGTATTTTTTCCAAACGAATCAGCTTATTTTTCCTATGTTATCATGCATATGACATGAATTTCTTTGAGTAATTAACATTTTAAAGTTTATTGTACTAGATATCTCATTTACAATGGAGTTTTATTGCTGTGTCAGTTTTTATGAAAACAGTCCTTTTGCTTTTTGTATAAACTACGTTTAAAGTATGGAAGCCTAAAAAGGTAAATAAAGTTTCATTTTTTTTCCACTGGAATTAGAAGCTCGATTTGCAGTTTTTTTACAACAAAATTTCCCCTGCCAAAAATAAACTTTCAACCCTAACTCCATTATCTTAGGTTGCTAAAATAATCTTTTTTTGTTTGTTTAGGCTTCTGTTTTTTAAAATTAACCACATATTTGCATAGAAGCAGCAGACACAAAACCAAAGTTCAGTTTAGAAGTATGTAAATTGATTTGTGTTATTTTTTTACAGCTTAACAACCCTTTACAGGTTATTTAAAGCCAAAAAATATTTTTATAGTTTAACAACTATAGATAATAATGATTTGCTGATACAAGTCCTACTAATTAACCCATAGTTGGGGGAGAAAAGGTAGATTCATACCTTTCCCAAGACAATTTACACATAAGTTAAAATAACTAAGCCAGATGGAATTGAAACTCAGTTCTCCGATTAAAAATTTCAACCTGTTATCCATTTATACAATCAGTACATCCAAGCTTACATCACCTGGCATTCATAAGACATCACCTTTCTTGGGACTGACCATGCTCAACATTACTTAACTTCTGGAATCATATGGGAACCAGGATTTCAATGTGATATGGCCATAACTATTTTAAACTGCATATTTAATGTCAGAATCAGCATTATTTTGCTCTTATAAAGAGTGTTTCATTAAGATGGATCAAAGTCAGCAGTAAATAAATCAGTTTTATTGGTGAAAATTTATTTTTCTATTGGAGCCTGTTATTTAAGTCATGGCAATTATGTGTTAAAAATAATATCGCCCAAATGTCCGCCAAAAAAAGAAAAAAATCATTAGAGACTTAAACTTAATTCACATCTAAAAATGGTCCAAGTTATTGGAACAGCCTTTATGTGTATTTTGAATCAAACCTCCACTCTTGAACCACTTAGCTTGCTTTCACTTTAAAACTTTAATTTCTTCAAAATGAACATCTTTAAAAAAAAGAAAGACATTTTTATAAAGAGCAGAACGAACAACATTGGAAAAATCCCTTTTTTCTGTTGCAAAACTTAATTTTATCTTAACCTCATCTTTACTACAATATGCATCAGTATCTGTCTATATTTCTGAGATAAGGTATTATGTACATTATTTACATTATTCGGACTATTGTCCTCATCTTTGTCGCCATATTTATTACAACGTTTCAGCCATTATACGCTCCAGCCTTCTTCAAATGGTTGGAATATTAAGCATAACCCTTTATTTACGCTCACTGGCGTGACTGTTCTAGTTCCACGTGCCATGTTTAATGGATGTCAGTTATCAGTTATCTCCTGTTAATATCCCTTTGAAAGTTCTCCACTGCCTTAACCAGGTATTGAACTCACACTCTTTGGACACATGGCACAGTGGATAAAGGCATTGGTTAGATCCAGTGACGGGAACCAAAGAGTATGAGTTCAATACCCAGTTAAGGCAGTGTAGAACATTCAGAGGGTAATTAACAGGAGATAACTGATAACTGACATCCATTAAACATGGCACATGGAACTAGAACTGTCTACCCCAATGAGCGAAATAAAGGGTTAAGTTCGACATTCCAACCACCTGAAGAAGGCCAGAGCGTACAACGGCCGAAATATTGTAATAAATATGGCATCAAAGATGAGGACAATAGTCCGAATAATGTAAATAATGAATATGCATCAGATATTACCATTATTTCCTGTATTATAAGACACTACAAATGGTAAAATGCATCCAAATATTAACTTAGTATTTTTTTGAAGAAAAAAATATTTAAGGATTTAATAGCTTACTGTACTAGCAAGTCTAAGTTGCTGACACTACGGTGTAATTTTTTTTTCTGTCACAACAAATTATCACATTTTGAACTTTTTATTAAATATTTGTGGTTATTATTAATTAGATTTCCAATAGTTTATCGCAATGTTATGCATATTCATATCAGAAAAAACTTGTACTTGCTGTCTCAACACACACTGTGTTTATATCCACTTCCCAGCTGATGTTTCAGGGCTTCATTCAAGAATGCAAGCAATGTGTTGCTTTTACATTATCACTATCCCAGTCAACTATTACTGTATGAATATTTCATTGACTATCCATTTGTATTATTACAATAATTAATATTACCTAATTTAGCAAAACCTCATTCATATTCCCTGTTTGTGCCATTTCATAATGTCATTCCTTTTTTACTGATAGTATCGTCAGTACTTGAAAAAAAAAAACATATGGAGAATATACGGTATTTATTATATATGAATGATACTTGTACGCTTATATGTCTGGGGTTTATGACGGGTGGCAAACTCCTCTTTACAAGTTGATCTTTCAGTGCTAAAATGCACAGTAATTTCTGAGGGCATTTTTCAGGGGGGAAAAATATTTTTCTTATCGTACAGGAAATACAGTAATTCAAAAGACAATTATACTAATTTCAAGTTCTTTGCACAAGCCTGACATATAAGTCTAAAAGTTGGGTACACAAGATCTATCTGAAAAGTATCCATTTTTCTAGAGCATTATCAACTTTGACCCCTTTAAAGTTCTCCCTTTAAGACCTCACAAACTTATCTCAGCATCCCTTCTCTTTTTCCATCAGGTGCCTCATCTCATTCTGAACTGTCTTTTTCAAGGCTTACGGCTATATCACATTGAAACAACAAATCTACGGCCTTGGTTGGGAACCAGTCTATGAGAAGAAAAACTTGCTGCACTGTAGGTCGTGCTTCTTTAGGCAATGGCTACAAAAAGGTAACTTCGAAAACAAATCTGCCTGAGATGTCTTCTCAAAGAAAGAAACTGACCCCCATTATTTCTAGCTGCAACAGAAAATAATGAACTACTTGGGTTTAGTACAATGGCTCAAACCAAGACAAGACTGGGTTGTGACGATAGAGTTGTGGAGAATCCTTCCAGGAGTGCATGGAGGTATGGTGGACAAGGATGGGAAACTGCTTTAGACTTTATTGGGATAATTTCAAAGGGAAAGACTTGTAGTTTGGATTAAACATAAAATTTTTTGCAAGCACAATCTGACACTGTGTATTCTTGGCAACAATTAAACTATAAATGGAAAACGCTGTTTTAAAACAATCAACATTTTACTTTTCAATTTTATGCAATAAGAAAACAAAACAGAACTTAGCATTGACTTTTAAATTTTTTATCACAAATCTCTTGGTAAAAGTCAACAAAAAAAAAATACCATTGTACAGAAATGGCTCTAGATTTTCTCTTTCAGTTAGATTTTTTTTTTACATTATTTTCTTGCTTTTCAAGTGCAGCTCAAGTGGAGGAACTAAAGACGGTCTACTGTCTGTAAAGAGTAGAGCATGAGGTTTGTTTGGAGAAAGCTTCCTTTCTTTTAGTACTTCCGACAGTCAAATTAACTTGCTGTTTGCGCAAGAGTTCCGCAGTTCCATGTAAACGAGAGAAATAATGCTTGGCTAGTTGATGTTTCTGATTGATTTTGTTGATAAATACTTGATCATAGCCCTGAAAATATAAATATAATCAATGGTTTAATTAAATAAACAATGAGATTTGCTCCAGATTTAGGTTAAATAGCAAACTAGCCACTCTAAACTTGGTTGGCAAGCAGTCTACAAGAACAACTCTAAAGTCAAAATGGAGGTGAAGTCAGTAAGAAACTATTTTACTGTCTTTCTCCGGAACAATCATGGTAGTGCACCATTTACAGATATTAAAGAAAGATTGCTTGATTTGTTTTTTTATGGTCTACCAAGGACACATGGCACATTGGATAAAGGTGTTAGTTAGATCCAGTGACAGGACCCAAAGAGTATGAGTTCAATACCTAGTTAAGGCAGTGGAGAACTTTCAAAGGGAAATTAACAGGAGATAACTGATAACTGACATCCATTAAACATGGCACGTGGAACTAGAACAGTCTACCCCAATGAGCAAAATAAAGGGTTCAGTTCGACATTCCAACTACCTGAAGAAGGCCGGAGCATACAACGGCCGAAACGTTTTTCTTTCAGATATATGTTTTGGGGTATATAATGTAGCCAATTTCATTTACATTCTCTCTCTTTATTGAAAACCATAAGAAAGAATTCAAAAGAACCATATTACTTTATACTTTTTATAGGTTACTTTAATTCAATTCTGTTGAGTACGTCCATACACGCAGATGTATTTTAAAGTTATTAAACATGACTTACCTTGTGAATATCTCCAATTTTGGCATGCTTTTCTGCTTCATCAATTGTTACTAAAAGACAGTTCCATGGAGACCAAGGTATTTCTGAATTCCAACGTATAAATATCAAATCATAGAGGTCATTGTTGTTGCTGATGATACTTTCACTACCCCAGATTTTTTCCACAAGGTAGCATATGTCTGCTTCCTACAAAATGAAACATTCTGAATGAATACACAGAAAGAAAATCACCATACCCAAATTAATAAAGAATTAGGCCTTTTATTGTTCATTTCTAATTGCTATCATATTAACTTAATTTGATAGAAATTTTTATCTTTGAAAGACAAATTTCATGACAAACAATTATTTCATTGTTTTTTTTTTTTGTTTTTTTTCAGAATAATTGTTTTATCTGAAAAAATTTGGAAAAAAAACCCAAAAATCAAACTCTCTCTCTCTCTCTCTCTTTCTCCTTCTTCAGGACATATTCATATATATATATATATATATATATATATAAAAAACAAGTCTTAAAAATTTTCGATTTCGATTCCGTGAAGGTATTAAAATATTTTCATAATAAAAAATCTCAGGAAAAACAAACAAAAATACTCCTTTTTTAAATTAATGCTCGCAATTAATTATTTTCAAAATTTTCTTTCATTTAAAATGAATGAAATGTCGACGTCTGACGTTTCGGTTTAATAAACCTTTATTAAACCCGGGTCACAATATTCATTAAAAACATGCAATTCAGTTCAATTTGACAAAGACGATGGACAAAAAAACAAGTCTTATCAAAACTAAAGCAGATCATAATTTCTGATTTCAATCGAGAATAATCTGTAAAGTGTATTCCGTGAAGGTATTAAAATATTTTCATAATAAAAATCTCAGGAGGATTTATATATATATATATATATATATATATAATATATATATATATATACAGGTATAATATCCATCTCAAATGGAGTTTGGTTTACGGTGAATACTAGACCTGGTTTCTCTTACAGTAAATTATTTATAAATTTAACTTTTTTACTTTAAATGAATATTTCCTGTATTTTTAATAGAGTATTTTTTTATTAATGCTCGACAAGCATTGTTTACAGTGTTATCATAAAAATTTTATTTAGATCCTAATAGAATTCTTTTCATTTTATATATATATGTGGGAAGGTAAGGTAGATTATGAGAAAAAGGTTAATAATTATTACTTTTGTGTATGTGTGTACTATATATGTGTGTGTATTCAAAATAATATAAAATATATTTTTAGGAATATATTTTATAAAAAGCGTCCCATATATATATATATATATGTGTGTATATGTATGTATGTGTGTGTGTATGTGTATGAGTATGTACAGGTATGTATGACCATGGTTCACTAAACGGAAATGCTGATCATTTTTTGTGCCAATATTTTATATATTATCTGTTTTGGATATACATGCGTGTGTGCTATATTTTATGTGTGTCCATCTGTCTTTTTATTGTCAAATTTTAAGAATTTCTGAATGTATGAATGTGTTTATTTTAATGTATATTGTCTATATGTATATTGCTGTGTGTTGGTGTTTGAAGGTATATTTATTAATATATTAGTTCATTTATATATGTATTTGGTTGTTGTTGTATTTTTATGTATGCGTGTATATTTGGTTGTTATTGCATTCATATATATATGTTTATTTGTAGATATGTATGTATGTGTAACATATTTATTATGTTTGTGTATTATATATATAGTGTGTGTTTTGGAACCTTTTGTATGAGTTTTTTCCAAATTGTTTCTAATTGTGTGCATAAAAGTCTATGTGTATATATGTGTGTGTATTTAGGTTTATATCCATTTACATTTGCTTATATATATATATATATATATATATTTATTTGTATGTATTTCTGTATATATATATATATATATATATATATATATATATATATATATATATATATATATATATATGCATATATTTTTGGATTTCTTTATCCTGTTTTCTTTGCCAAATATATAATGCATTAAATCATTTTTTTATTGATATTTATTGTTTTAAGTTTTTTCGTTTTAATATATTCAATACTTTATATATTTGCACAATAAGTTCCTTGGACTCACATTTAACTGTGTGTGTGTATAAGTGTTAGTTTCTCCTTTTTTTCGAAAGTTGTTCATGCCCCCCACCTGGTGTGTGTGTGTGTGTGTGTGTGTGTGTATGTATCCACAGACAACTGATTGTGATTTTGTTTGTGTCACGCCTTTAAGAGGAAAAAAATATATAACATTTATCAGATGACCGGACGAATTGTAGCTTTTGTCTTGTCAGATGAATTTCAATGAAAAATAATTGAATAAACATATATATTTTTTCTTTTCTCAATAATTTTGTAGTTTTAAACTTAATAAATTAAATTTGGATTTTAAAAATTGCCAGTTTTAATTTTAATATTAAATTTTATCATAATTTATAATTATTAGTTAGTAAAAATTATTTTTAATATTACACGTATTTAAAGATTAAATAGATATAATAGCAGGATTTTGTTGTCAAAATTTTCTGTACTTCGTTTTTGATTGGTTATTCTAAAACAATGAAAATTAATCTGAAACTTTTAAAAAAAAAAAAATGGCTATTTTTGTAGTGATTTTATAACATTTTTTATATATATATATATATTTCTGCACCTAAGTTTCTTCTTATTTTTGTTCTGCTGAATGATTTTTAATGATAAACTGTGTTAGATTAATGAAATTCCATAAAAAAAAATTTTTTTGCACCTTTTTTTTGTTGATTGGACATTTTGGCTTCTCAAAAAATCCTTGACTGGCTCCTCTGACAGATATATAGTATTTGCTTTGTTATTGTGAAAATATTAGTCAAGACTCATTAATAATTCTTTTCTAACTGAAACAACTGTGACAGAATATAACAAAAATGTTGTACAAATATGATTGGCAAATTTACCGATGCAGCCTTCTTGGATATATACCAAATTTTGAATAATGTTACCTGAAATATAAAAGCAATAGTTGAACCATCGTTGTATGGTTCTTCAGTCATCCTGAGCACTTTGAGCATGTGCCTATAGCTACTGTAGTCAGTCCTGTATCGTCCTTCATTATCTTTCTTTTTGCATTGCTGACAGTTGCCCGGATTTCGAGCATTGACGTTCAGGGGGAATTGAGTAGACAGTAGATAATTGTTGCAGCTTGTACAGAAATAAATCCTCCCTGAAATCTTGGTCGGATCTGGAGGCACCTATAAAATAGAAACATTTAGGATAATATAAGAGGCAATATACACACAGCAATTTAAGTGGCCAAGATAGTCACGCTTAGGCCAGTTACTGGTAACATGTTAATCCAGTACAACCTGCCACATGAACAGGTGGTTTGCATTTAAACCAGCTACGCCACTACTAGAGTCCAAAGATAACTTGTATTAATCTTGTGATGCCTGAATAAATTTAGTATTGTAATATCTATACAAGTTTTCCTTTCCTGAAGTGTCTATACATTTTTTGGTAGACTCTTTTTTGCACATATATATATTGAATTCCAACCATGTTCCTTTTGTGGGGCTCAGAATAAACACTACTATCATACAATATGCATCACACAATTGCACCTTAAAAGACAGCGATGATAAGAAATTAATAACAAACCCCTTAAAAATAGTTAAGGGTGTGGCCAAAAGTGCTACTCACCCTCACTGATTCAGGAAAGTAGTGGGAAGGAGAAAAAGAGACAAGTTAACAACTAGGAAATATGAGTACTTTAAAAATTTGCAGGTAACAAAATACCCTGTGTGACTAATGTAGAGTTAAAAAACAAACTCTAAGATAAATAATGGTTAAAAGTACATTGTGTCCCACGATATTTTTGAATGGCTGGTAATACCATGATTATGTCTTCTTCAGTTCTAATATCTATATTCTTTTTTTCAGAAAAGGCAAATCTCATTTTTTTTACTTTGTTGAGTAATATAATTTTTTTTTTCAGTTTTATTCTTTTTATTAACCATTCCAACTAACATCCTCCTAAGTGTTATTTATCCCTTGTTGGTTTCTGGTTGCAAAAAATAACTCCTCTTTTGTGCATAATATACAGAATATAGCTTACGTTTTGAGTGAGCGGTAATTTTTTTCTCAAAATGATTCATAAGATTTTCTAATGATAAATGAATTAATTTTCAATTAAGGCCTATAAATATCCACTCCAGCTTCTTGCTTTCCTCTCAACTATAATCTTCAAAAATTGAAATGCAATGCCAACAAATCATCTATCTTTTTGAATCCCGATTTTTTTAATGCCCTTTCTCCCTAAATAACGTTTTCCCAGACTCTTCCGATCTTAGTAATCCCTTGTATTGTAGTGGCTTTATCAGCTTGCTTGGGGTGAAATGATTTAAAAATTAATAATAATGGTATGACAGAAGATGGATTACAGTTCTTACAATGCAACCAGGTTTGCCAGATCTCACTCATCTCAATCCCCTTTGAGCTGCAAAAGAGGCACTATTGACCAAGTGTATGGGCTTCTCCGTCATGCAGAGTTGTCTACCAAAATCCTATCCATGCGAATGGCCTTATCAAACTGTCTTTGATTCACAGCCATATTCAGTGGGGAGTGAGGGAATAAGGAATAGGGAGAGAGGATGATGATCATGATATTCAGATGCATACAAGAGACCACTGCCAACAAACAGTAATATTAACTATTTCCCTACAGAGAAACATTTGGCGTTCACTCGGTTGAGCAGCTAGTACTGTTTTTGGTTATGGTTCATTGGGTCTTGCTACAATGAAAATATGTTATCTAGTGGCAATTTATTTTCTTGATTTATTCAGTGGACTTATCACCCATATGATGTTATGATATGAATGTATGTCTCGCATTACTAAGTGTATGGTGTCAGAACAAAGAAGAAACAATGAAATTTAAGGCAATAAACAAATGTATTAACATTAGTAGGCATGGTGGAGTCAAGAATAGTGGCTTGGATTGAGGAATTGGAGAGCTGAGTTCAAATTTCAGTTGAATCCATTACATTCACTTACGTGCTAATACCCTTAGGAAAGGTATGAATCTTCTTCTTCTCCCCACCAGCTATGGGTAAATAGTAGGACAGACCTTGGATGGCAACTGGTCTACTGCAGAAAGAAATGGCAACCTAATGCAGGAAAAAATCTGCCTCGTCAGTCATGTATCGAAAGATACATGATCGCCTAAGTGTGTATCACGCATGGCACATAACTGACTGACTGATTAACATAAAATACAATAAATGAAAAATCAGGGTAAATGTCTCTGATATGAAAAAAGAGATAAATGGAGTTATAAAGGCATCTGGAAGAAGTGGGAAAATAAATTGTGAGGCAACAGTGTTGGCAAGCTAGTCGAGTCTGATGTCTTTGGAGATGGGATGTCAATTTTCGACGAAGTGTGTGAACTCTGGTCAAGATGCCATTCAACTGCCAAACGTCCCTTTAATAGGCTTTTATGTCCTTTTTGAGGCTCAAATTGCCTCCAATTTTTATTTTGTTTCTGTTGACAAGAGTGAATGCTATTAGGCGGAAGTTCTGGATTGTATTACTTTACTTTTTTTCTTTGAGTGTGTGAGTAAATGGAAGTTATCTGAAGATCCATGTGCAGCTGACAAATTTTTACTTGAGATTTGGGCATTCAGAGCATTCACATTCAGTGGAAATTAGTGTAACGTGAAATTAGTGTAACGTGAAATTAGTGTAAATTTAAATTAATGTAACTTGAATCAGATCTGATTTTGGAAAGAATGTAACAATGGTTTTTGCTTGTTTCTGGAACCAAAATATTTTAACAAAGGAGAAAATCTGTAAAATGTTTACCTTAATGAATTTAGATGACTCAGGATTAAAGATTGGCGTTTTGATGTACTGCAAAAAGAGTGTAGCGATTCGTTTGCGCAGTCCCTCCAGATTTTCATTTGAAACACCTCGGACAAGCAAATCAGCTTCTCGATCAATTAGCTTCAGAATTTCTTGGGTCAGTTTGCAATCATGCTCCTATGAGGCAGGAGGGGGAACAAAATCAAAAAAGAAAAAATTTAAGAGCAAGAAAAATTTCAAACAACTTAATATACCATATTTTCTTGTGTATAATATGACCCTGAGTTTCTGACACTAAATCAGGGAATAAATTAAGTAACAGCTGGGCACACGTATCTCAGTATGGCTGTTTGCAAGGGATGGCTAACTAATCCCTACCGCAGACGCCTGCTCAGGCATATTTGTATTTGTTACAACACCCACAGAGCCCACCTGTGGTTTATAGTTCAACTATGCTGAGTGACTTTCTTTACAGTTTCTGGGAGAGACTGCATTATCTGGCATGGCCAACAAGCTCAATCCCTAAGTCATTTAAACAGTATATTTGTTTTCATCTACTGACCTGAATATTTAAGAAATCTTACAAGAGAAAAATATACATCCTCCAGTAGGGCGCATATTTTTCTCTAGTAAGATTTTTTGAATATTCAGGCTGGTAGATGTAAACGAATATACTGTTTAACAAATAAACAGAACATCTACTTAAATATGAGTATCCACTAAAAATAACCTTGAAGTAATATATATATTATAATTATTTAAAAAAAAATTATAATTATTTTTTAAAAAATATGATTCCTTCGCTACATAAGATTTCTCATGTTTCAAAAACAAGAGCCAAAAACCTCAATATAATTATTAAAATTAAATTGAATTTTAATAATTATATTGAGATTTTTGGCTCTCGTTTTTGAAACATGAGAACTCTTATGTAGCGAATGAATCATATTTTTCGAAAAATAATTATAATTTAAGCTCTAATTCTGTATGGAGCATTGTTTTCTAAAATTAAAACAAAAATACTAAAGAACTCCAGATTATTTACCTAACGTGTTCTTTCCTATTTTTCTACATATCTGCCCACACACACACACACACATATATATATATATATATATATATATATATATATATATATATATGCAATATTCATTTACAAAAAAAGTGAATTATTCTTATACAATTCAAAAATATGTTTTGGCTTTAAATAACCCACAAAGGGCTGATAATCCATAAAAAACAAATCAATTCATAAAAAGCGCTAATAATAAAATAGAGAAAAAAACAGTAAAGAAATAACAATTTCCTTTCTTTAAATTAAATTTGAGCACTCACCTGCACAGTGTGTTTCAAGGTGAGAAGAATATCAAGCCGTTCATCCTGAGTTAAGTGTTTCATAATGATGCTATTATAAATATCCCTGAGTTCTTTAGCACGGATAGTATAGGGCGTATCAATGGCTGTTGGTTGATTGTCATAACTGGAAGTAATCACTTTCGGTGCAGCTGTCTGAAAATAAAATTATACAGAAAAGATTTATTCCAGCATTTGGTGCTACATAAACATACAAATCAAAGGAGGTATTTAAAATTTCAAAGAAAGACTTTTTTTTAAACTGTATATTAAGGCAACATTCCTTCGTTTATACATGTTCTATTAAGTAGAATGGACACAAAATACCTTTTGTGTCCATTCCTTTTGGCTAGTTTCCATTTGTGTTGAATGAATTAGTTGATGTCAAATGGAAATTTGAAAATTACCAAAATTATGCGAAGTACTTCCAATTATGTCATCAAAGAAAACAAATGTAAGAATCTGAAGATTTCCAAACATGCAATTATAAGATTATAATTGCATGTTTTGGAAATCTTCAGATTCTTAAAAAAATTTCTAGCATTTTTGATGAAGTCATTTTATATATATAAATTATTCTGACAAAAGAACTATACTGATTAACACTCATACATGTCTGGAGGGAACCCTTAAATAGAATTGGCAAAATGCTCAATAAATGGAATTGACAAAGTTCCCAATAAACAATAAGAAAAGGAAGTAAAAGAACAAGGCAAAATAATGCTAAACAAACAATATATATGTAAGTCAAAACTAGGCAAAGCAACAGTAATAAGGCAAAAAAGTTCACAATGTAAGAATTGTATTCACATACAAAAAGGGATACAGTCAAGTGATTGTAGTATTCTGACTTCAAGACAAGAAAGAACAAATAAAAAATAAATATGACAGATGAGATCAAGAATTAGTTCATTTTATTGGTTACAAAGAAATCCCAGCATGCACCTGTGAGATTTACATATAAATTTGGAAAGGGAGATGTTCTTAGCAGACATTCTATCAAGTAATTCCCACAACTCCAATACCAAAAAATTTCAAACCTCAGGATTACAAGGAAGAAATGAAAGCTCTGATTATTTAACCTCTTCCTAGACAATGCACATATACAAGTACAGATGTGAAGAGATGGACAATGATCATTTTTGTGCATTCCCTACCACATCCCAAATTGATCAAATAGAAAACAGTGTACCTGCTTCCCCTACCAAGGTCAATGTATAGATGATAAGAGGGGCTATGTTGATGACAGGTATTCATAGTTGAGATAAATATTATCTTGAACAGAAAATCAACATCCTCTACCAAGTGTTCCAAGAAATAGGACTCAAAATAAACCTTTCCAAAACAGAAACTATGCTATGGAATTAGAATGAAAGCAATGATGAAAGAAATAACCTGAATCCATAATAAAAATTCATGACATGGAATTAGTAAATGTGGATCAGTTATAACGAATTTAGTATACGAGAAATTGAAATTGAACATAGAATAGTCTGCAGTAGGAGTAGTCTTTCCTAACATCTTTCCCGTTTCCCTCCTCTACCACCTTCAGGAGTTAAACACACACAGACACAAAAATTGTCCACTAGAATTCAGATGTGCACAAACACACACACACACATACACTAGCACCACAAGATATACACACATGAGATCTACCTGACCAATGAAAAAGAAACAACACAGAATTCAAAGTACTGAAACATTCTTTTCTATAAGTCATTTAAAAAAAATTGTAATGAAGCTAAAATAAAAGAGAAACATGTTAAATTTATAAATTTAAATTTATAATATCAAAGGTTTAGCAAAAAGAGGAACCAAAAGTGCCAATTACAAACTGGAGATACCAAAATCAAACAAATTCAGAAATTTACATATCTGGGAAGTGTTTTAACAGAGGACAGAAAGTATGACACTGAAATAATAGAAAGATAAAGTTTATTAAGAGATACAAGAGACAGGATGTTGTGGAGAACCATGACCGCCTACATCCTGAGTGGACACATAAGAGAAGAAATATATTTTAAATTTATACATCGACTATTAAATTAAGAGAAAAGTAGGTATTAGTTGAGATTTTTCCTTAGGAACAGATTTCTCCCAAGCAAACAAAGAATTATCAAAAAAAAAGAGACAGATGCAAATAAATCATAACCTTATTAAGGAAGTTTTGGATTTTATTCTCTCTGTTTTCCATATCGGCTTCTAGTCTGTGCCTGCCAATTGCAGCCAAGTGTTCAGTCTCTTGATTCAACAACATGTATAAGGCTGCCTTGCGTTCAGCACCAGTCATTGTTGCATTGATGCAAGCAATTTCTTCTAAGCGCCATTCTGGGAAATGAGAAAAAAAAAGTAAATATTCTTAAAAAATACAACAGGATCCTTTACTTTCTTCCCACCAATTTGTTTTCTTCTCTTTTGACACTGACAGGTGCGCACACATGTGTGTGTGTATCTAATTGGTATCACTCCAAGCAAGGTAGTACAGCCATTATCTGTGTGTGTGTGTGTGTGTGTGTGTGTATATATATATATATATATATATATATATATATATGAAAAGACAATATTTATAAGGCATTTTTAAAAGCAAAAGCTAAAATAAAACAACCGGTTTCATCCCAGGACTTATCAAGTTTATTTATTCTGGGAATTTAAAAAGCATGTAAATTAATTTTTAATTAACGAATGTAAACGAATGGGGGGAAAAAAAAAAATTATGAATTTCAAGAAACTAGAGTTCAATAATATTCAGACCCAGCAAGCATTCCCTCTGTTTACAAAGGGAAGGCTCACGAGATCTGATATACAAGGACTCTAGAACCTTGAGGTGAAATGTGGATTTGGATTCGAGAATAAAACAGCATTTACCCCCAGGATTTTGAATCTGTCCTCCAGGAATAACCAACTGACTAACAGTTCTGGTTCTGCTATTGCTTAACATTTAATAAATAGTAGGAAATGTGTGGAAAATTTTAGTGGTTACCAATTTATAATTTTATCTAAGTCCCACTCCACATTTCACCTCAAGGTCCTAGAGTCCTTGTATATCAGATCTCGTGAGCCTTCCCTTTGTAAACAGAGGGAATGCTTGCTGGGTCTGAATATTATTGGACTCTAGTTTCTTGAAATTCATAATTTTTTTTTCCCCTATTTGATTACATTTGTTAATTAAAAATTAATTTACATGCTTTTTAAATTCCCAGAAAAAATAAACTTGATATGTCCTGGGACGAAACCGGTTGTTTTTATTTTAGCTTTTTTGCTTTTAAAAAATGCCTTATAAATATTGTCTTTTCCTATCTATTATTAAATTCTGTACCACGAAAACTTACTTTATATATATATATATATATATATATATATATATATATATATATATATATATATATGTATGTGTGTGTGTGTATTTAATTGGTATCACTCCAAGCAAGGCAGTACAGCCACTATCATGCAAGGGCTTACAGGGTGTGGAGGAATAAGGAACAGAAACATTAGTAATGAGGAGAAAGAGAAAAGAACAGTCAGGAGGACAGTAGATAGCGATTGACATTGCATTTAATTTTTTACAGATTAAAGTTGGTTGGAAAGCATGGAGCCAGACAGCGAGTTCCACAAGCGAGTAGTGTGAGAAAAGAAACTGTTAGCATAGAAGTTACAGCTACATCTAGTTAGCTTAACTGTAAATTGATAAGATCTCACCACCTTAAATTCAGTTTTAATTTTGGAGGTGTTAAAATTGACAAGCCATTCAGGTTGCTTTGTACATTAGCTGCCATTTGGACCTTGTCTGACTGATCAGCCTTACTATCGAAGCAGGAGTAAATGGTAGTGTCATCAGCCTAGATGCCAAGTTGAAAGCTAATGTCATTGGGAAGGTTGTTAATGAAGATTAAAAACAGCATAGGACCAAGGATGGAGCCCTGGGGGGGGACACCTGCATTCAGGACAACTTTCATTTCATGATTTGATAGGAATGACTGGATCAGTTTAAAAACATGCTCAGAGATAATGTAACTTTTCAACTTGTGGAGAAAACCTGAATATTAGACCCTGTTAAAGGCTTTTGAGATATGCAATGGTACAGCCTGGGCTTCACCATTTTTATCTAGAGCTAAATAGACTCTTTCCACAATTATTGTTAGTACATCAGCAGTTGATCTAGAGAAACGAAAACTGTATTGTTGTATGAAAAAAGACCCTGTGATGAGAGAGGATGAACCAATTCAGTATTGATTAGGACCTCTAGGAATTTCCTAAAAAGAGGCAGAAGGCTAATAGGGTGATAGAAGAGTCAGACGGTTCACCAGAGTTCTTAAAAACTAGAATAGACGATGACTTCCAGCATGCAAGAAAGCAGGTGACACCAAGGCATTTATCAGGTCCACATAAATTAAAATGGACAGTGGGCCAGACTAAACAGTTTGATAGTTAATAGCAATGTAGAGTACAATATACACAGAATCAGATACAAAAGCACCAAAAATGTAAAAAAACACAAATAAGTATAAAATTTAAAATCAAATAAATAAAAGAATAATTAACACAGGCATTTCATGATTTAAAAACTGTATCTGTCACTGCATCATTCCAATCTCTGAAGAATTAACTTTTTCCTTTTTGGGATGGTGCAGGTAGACCTTATTCTCAATGGTGGAAATTACTCATGTAAAATCCGCTTGCTGTTTCACAGCCAAAGTGTGTGTGTTTGTGTGTGTATATATATATATATATATATATATATATATATATATATATATATATATATATATAAAATATAGTTTATTTTTATAAAAAAAAAAGATAGAGCATATAAATATAAAGTAAATGTTATTAAAATCATGCTATAAAATCGTCATTTTGTTTTTTTCCTGCCATTTATATATATCTGTGTCTTATTCATTAGTGATTTTGCCGGGAAGTCGTTTGTTTAAAATAAAATAAATTGGTTTTAATTTTTGTTTCTTATTTTATTTAATCGATTATTAACTAGGGGAAAACATTGTTTATATCAAAACAGTTTTGAATTGGTTTGAGAAATTAAAGCCAAGTGTTCAATTTTTGGGTTGAAAAGTTGACATTCTAGCTATTATTTTATAATAGGAACAGGTTTTTAATTGATTATCTTTATTTGGGATTGGTTTGTTTATTTATTTAAATGAATTTAGGTCAATTTATTTTACTATCCAATTTTCGGTTTAAATTTTAATGATAAAATTTATTTATTTTTTAAAAAAAAACAAAACTGTTAAATAAAAAAACAAATTTTTCACTATTAATAAATAAAAAATAAATAAAATAAGAAAAAAAAAAAAAAACAAGCAATATAATTTGATTCAATTCATTTCTTAACATTGAAATACCCACAATGCACGACAACCCCGTATATATATATATAAATAGCATTTGACAATATGTGTATATATTTTTTTTGAAACAGACTGTCACCTTAAGTGTTGACTTTTTTCACTTTTATATTTTATATATATATATATATATATATATATATATATATATATATATATATATATATATATATATATATATATATATATATATATATGTATCCAAGGGTCAGAATATTATATTCACTTTTTAACTATGAGACTTATTTTGGTGGATCTGTCAGAAAGGTGGGCATGTAGCACAGTGGTTATAACGTCTGCTTTTCGACCATGAGATCCAGGTTCAAATCTCACCATAGTTAATTTGTCAGGAAGATGACTTCTTGATGTTATCATTCTGGAGAGGTGATCCTATGATGTGGCACCTTTGAAAAGTGCCTGAAAACTATACCATGTGTTGATCCAAGCCGTGTGAGTGAAAATGGTTAGACAGTACTGTTTGAAAGTCATTGGTGGTGAAGAAAAGCAGGTAAAATGAAAGGTTGAAGTGCTGTAGATGAAAAAAAGGCAGGCTTGCTGTCTTCTCTAGCCCCTGGCTCTTTTAAAATGCCTGAAACTTTATTTAATATTTTTTTCTTTTGCAACAAAACACAAACACACATATGTAAAAGTGGATACTGATGTCAATGCTGAGCAGTGACAGTCTATTTCATAATTGAACATAATATTCAAGCCATGACATATGGTCTATCCCTCATATTGAGCACTTACCCATAAATATAACATACCTTAAAAAGAATATTTTTATGATATATTAGGGTTAGGGAACTTATAAACTTAATGTCTCAGTAATCATTTTTTACCAGAGCTCATATTGCAATTTTGTTGTTATTACTGCTTTTTTCCAGCATTCTGTATTAAGATGAAGATAAATAATTATATCTCAAAAATATAGACAGAAACAGCTGATAAATTTATCTAATTTAACTCGATGCTTTTTAGAATTATCTTTGATCTCAGAGTTCTTAAAATCTTGTCAAATGACAACTGACTCACTTTCTAATGCATCATAGAGTGTGTCAAAGTCTTCGTTGGCCCGTGGATGCATCCGGCGTTCAAATTCTAACTTGATTCTTTTTTCTTTCTCTTGCTTTCGTTGGAGCAATCGCTGCCGTTCAAATTGTCGCCGCTTTTCTCTCTGCATTTTCAGGTTATTCACATACATTTTGGCAAGATATTGACGGAGATATTTTTGCAAGATAATCACCTATAAAAGACAGAACAGCTCTTAGAATATTATTAATAATCTTTGGCTAATATTTACATTCATCTTTGTATTAGTGGCTTTTATCACAATGTTTACACAATCTATACCAGTGTGTTGACTGTACAGTGGTGAAAATAAAAGTGAAACTGGAACTCACATTCCTTTTGGTTCAAAGCACCAGCTGTTTTAATCACAAAGCTATAAGAACATGATAACTTTGCAAGGGAGAAAATTGAATCTATAATCCCATCATTTCATTCCACTTTATTTACAAGTCCAATAATTTTTAATAAATTTATATATATATATATATATATATATATATATATATATAATTACCCTGTCAGTAATTCTGTCAATAACACTTGCATAAATTTCTAACCAAAAACATTGAATTTTTATATTGATTTTCAATGCATTTCTATAGGTAAATCATTGACAATGTATTGTTGTTATACAATAATAATTGTATTCTTTTAGTAAGGCTTATATAAATTTCTGATCATTGACAATCCCTTTCTCCTGATTCTCAATCTATTTCTATAGGTAAATCATTGACAATGTATTTTCACTATACAATAATAATCCTATTCTCTTAGTAAGGCTTATATTAACTACTAACCACTAACAATCTCTTCCTGATTTTCAATCCATTTCTATAGTTATATCATTGGTAATATATTTTCATTATACAATAAAAATCTTATTCTCTTAGTAAGGTTTATATTAATTCCTGACCACTGACAATCCCTTTCTTTCTGATTTTCAAATGCGTAATATCCAAATTGAGCACCAAATCATTTTTCAGTGAATTTTAGGTAAAAACTTACAAAATTTGACATGTGAAGTATACAACTTATCTTTTAAGTTTTAATATTACTGTGAGTTTTTTTCACTCTAAGAACTAGCATCTGAAGTTAATATTCATGTATAGAAGTAGAAAGTAATTATCTTTTTTTCAGGATGGATTTACTGATATCATAAGAAGTCCTTGAGCCTGTTGGTGAGGACAGTAGTTGCAGCTTAGCTCTCAGTGGAGAAGGATGTGTTAACCAGTTGAGTTTTTGGTGAATGAGAGAATATCATGTGTCCTAAATAAGAACATGAAAGAGTTCACCAGGATTGTATTGTGTTCCTCTTAGGACTTTTACAAGTTAGATATTTTTTTTACATTATTCGGACTATTGCCCTCATCTTTTTCACCATATTTATTACAACGTTTCGGCCGTTGTACACTCCGGCCTTCTTCAGGTGGTTAGAATGTCGAACAGAACCCTTTATTTCACTCACTGGGGTAGACTGTTCTAGTTCTACATGCCATGTCTAATGGATGTCAGTTATCAATTATCTCCTGTTAATTTCCCTTTGAAAGTTCTCCACTGCCTTAACCAGGTATTGAACTCATACTCTTTGGATCCTGTCACTGGATCTAACTAATGCCTAAGACACATGGCACAGTGGATAAAGGCATTCTGTAATTTAACCCATAGTTGGGGCTAAGAGATGAACTCATACCTTTCCCAAAAGTATAAGGGAATGAAATGAAGCTGCTTTGGATTTGAACTTGGCTCCCTGATTTCTCATTCTGAACTACTATCCATTGCACCACCCATATATTTTAATATTAAAATAAAGATCAAACTATTTTATAAGACAAAAACAGATTTAATGATGACAATCCTAAATAGAAGATGGCACATTTTATTACCTTTTCCAAAATAAGTTCCTCCTTTTCCTTTGAAGTAAAGTATTTCCCTGGGACTACTAATTTGTCTGTGGACACAGACACATAGCAACCAATTTTGGTCATTTGTGTTGAAGTATCTTGTGCAGTCTGTATCACTTTGTTACGAAGCTCATATGTCTGGGTTGATCTGGAGAATCTAACATTTTCTGGCCAGAATCGAGGCTTTTTCACTGTCTGGACTGAAGCATTATGAAACTCTTTCCCATTGACCTTATGTCGAAATCCACCAAGAAATGGTTTCTTTATGTTGGAATTGTCAACTTCAACTAAAACTGTTCGTATTTCACCATTTTCTGCAAAAATACAACAGAAGAGAGGAAGAAATTTTTTTTACAAAGAATTTTGACTATTTTTATCAAAAGCAGAAAAATGTAACTCATTATTAGTAAAGAATCTTATTTAATTCTATCTTGCTTGAGTTAAAAAAATATATTTCATGTTTTAATAATTATATATACAAAAGTTGGACAATATCTTCTGTTTTCTTGAATCCTGTTCTTTTATTGTCCTTTCTCCTAACCAAAGTCTTTTCGTTCTCTTTCACTTTCAGTAACCCCTGGTGTCTTAGTGGCATTATCACCTTGCTTGGGGTCAAATGATTTTTTTTAAAAATACTTGCATTTTTATTACTTTTTACTTACAAATTTGTGTTACTTAGCATTTATAATCTTAATATTATCTTTTGTATTGTTATTTGATAACTTTAACATTTTATCAGCAAAGAATCACTGATTTACAAAGAAATTGAAGCAAGATTAAAAATAGTTATTATAACCTAATTTTGTGGTATTAATTTCAAATATAAAATCAGTTTTCACTCATCACCTTCAGCTTTTGAGATATACGTATATACATGTATGTAAATGTATACATGTACATACATTCAAGACTGCCAGATGTGTCCTATTTAGGACATTGAGCTCTTTTATAAAATTTGAAATTTTAGGATTTGTATTCTTTTTCAAACAACTTATATAATGGCTGACTTCAGCAGCTTAAACTTGGCCATGCAGCTAAAGTTTAATTGTGGTAAAATTCTCTTCAAATTTGGATGCCTGGTATACATGGATGTAATTATATATATGATCAATGTTTTTGTTTTTCAAATTTTTGTGAGCTAATACATAATTCTACAATGGTTTCAGGCACTTCAAAACACCGAGGATGCATCTACAAAGCAAATTCATTCTGTTACATGTGGGGAGGATTTCACAACAGTTGCACGGTGCCAAACAATTTCTTCCCTCCTGAGAACAGCTTACTTTCATTATTCTGACTGTAAAATTGGAGATCAGGACAAATCCTGGGTCCCACACATCTGTTGTAAATCCTGTTACAACGGACTAAATGAATGGTTTCATGGCAAGAAAGCAACCTTCAACTCTTCTGTCCCAATGGTCTGGAGAGAGCCACAAAGCCATGCAGATGATTGTTATTTTTGTCTAACAAATATAATTGTTTTCAATGCTTCTAAAAAAAATCAAATATGAAACCAAGAAGGTGTAGTGAGGCACTCTCGAGAAGTTGACCATGAACCATGTTGATAGGAGGTAGGGACGTTTCTCTATGATGAGTAAATGACAGCAGTTTTGTTTTGGATAGATTGGAATTCACAAGTCATTTTGCCCCACCAATGACCAGGTTAACTTTCATGACCAATGACCAGGTTATTTGGCACCATTTACCATTGAGGCATGAGTAAATGGTAGTGTTGTCTGCATAGATGCCGATTTGAGAACTGATGATGTCAGGAAGATCATTGATGAAGATCAGAAACAGTGTAGGACCCAAGATAGTACCTTGAGGAATACCAGTGTTCATATGAAAAGAACTAGAAGAGAACCTGTTCGGAACAACCTTCATTTCACTGTTAGATAGGAATAATTGGATTAAATCAAATAATATTGTAATACCGTATCTCTGAAACTTACATAGAAGGCCAGCATTTCAAACTCTGTCAAACACCTTTGATATATCTAGAGCAACACCTCAAGTTTCACCATTATTATCAAGAGCTTGGTATATATATTCAGTTATGGCCATAAGCACATAAGCGGTAGACTGAGCAAAGTGGAAACCATATTGTTCGTCAGAGAGCAGATCAAGGGAGGTAAGATGCTTAACTACTTTGGCATTAATTAAAGCCTCAAAGACTTTGCTGAAGAGTGGTAGGAGACTGATGGAACAGTAGTTAGATGTATCAGAAGGGTCTCCAGAGTTCTTAAAGATTTGGAGGACTTCCAACAGGCTGGAAAGCAAGAATTGTTGAGGCAATAGTTGTAGAGTTTGGAGAGAACTGGAACCAGCTCAGGATCACATTTCTTTAGGACTACAGCCGGTATCCTATCACCACCACTTGTTTTATAAGAGTCTAATTTAGAGATGATGTCTAATATCATCAACAGGGTTATGCGCATCTCACTCAGTTCTAGGGGGAAAATCAGGTATGGGTACCCCAGATGAGTTGTGTATTGAGTTGGGTTATTTTTTAGAAGAGTAAAAATATTCAGTCTAGTACTCATTAAATTTAGAACATTATTTATAGGATGACCTGATAATTATTTTAATTTCAAACAAGACTGACCTTCACGAACATTAACGCTAAGAATATCTAGTAGTAATTCAAGTCCACTTAATTTTTTGTAAAGTTTTATAGGATTATTTTCAGGATCTGTAGATTGTAATTCTAATTGGATGGTGCCATAGGCTGCAACTCCAAGAAGGCTTAACGTCATAAAGTCATCCAATATGACTCCTGAAAAGAGAAAAAGAAATAACAGAAAAATAATTAAACATATAAGTCCTTTTATTTTGTATCTATATTCGATTAAAAAAAAAAATAACGTAACTGAAACTTGACTTTTACACTACACAATATGAAGAAATGTGGTATTCCTTTATTCCTTTTTCCTTTATCAAGGAAAACCCCATCAATACTGGAAAGAGCAATAAAAGCTACTGAATTTGAGAAACCTACTTTTGTTTGCATTGTCTTTGAGCAAATGACAGATGTAGGTCTTAGCAAGGATCTTGTTATGATCCAGAATGATGATGATATTTCATCATTCTAAAAACAACCTTTCCACTAGTGATGATTGGTGATAAGGATATTTCATCATCATGGAAATAAAGATAAAAATTTCATCATTAAAAACAACCTGCCCACCAGTGATGATTGATGATGATCTATTTTCGTCATTCTAAAATCTGAAACTTCATCATTATAAAAACAACCTTTCCACCACAAGCAAAGTCAATAGTGTCAGCAGAGTAGAGTTAACAGAAGTAAAAAGAACAACACAGACATATCTCCTTTGCTCTGTAAAAATCCACAGTTAACAGTCTCAAATGCTACTCTTAACAACAAAATTCTTGGAACAAGCAAAAACAAGTAAGCACAAACTTTTAAAGAAACAAAAGAGATAATACCACTGAGAACATTTTTAACACACACAATACCAATATTGTAATTGACATCACAAAAAGAAAAATATACATACTTGTCATTAATGTCAACACATGTCTCAAAGTCACATTGTTTATGTTATTGTTGTACTCATTGTATTCATTTCATTTTCAGTATAAAAAAGAGAAAAGGAATCCTCTATCAACTACTACAAATACATATAACAACAGGTTAACTTATATTAAGAAGCTCAACAATCAACCCTGTTACAGACCATCCTTCTTTGATCCTCATGAATTGGTCCTAGAGAATCACAAAAGACTGTATCAAATAATAAAACCACATCACTTGGGGACTTTCAGCAGCTACAACAACTAAAATGGATAGCACATATAACATCAAAGAGACAATGATGACATAATCAAGATGTTGACTTTCCACTCTTCATCAAACAAAAGGTTAAGAAGGAAAACCCCATCAATACTGGAAAGAGCAATAAAAGCTACTGAATTTGAGAAACCTATTTTCCTGAGAAATTGTTTCAGAGAAAGATTTTATAAATTTCAACCGAAAGTAGCACTGGCTGCTTGGTCAATGAATGTTGCATGTTTCCTTATAAGGAAACAACTAATACTACCATTACCATTGCTAATGATTTTATAAATGATTAAAAATGAATGAAGCCTGTACATCTTAGTAAAAGGTCTGGAAAGAGCAATAAAAGCTACTGAATAAGTAAAAAAAAAAAAAGACATTAACAACAAATATAATGACAATATAAAACAGTTAAACTAGTTTATCAGTCTGCTTTCATCAGAACAAAAATCGAGGATAAAAAATATGCACAGCAACTAAAAAAATATAAAACCCCAGGAATTTATTTAGAAATATTATGGCTGTGCCAGTTAATGTCATTGAGCTTTTTTTTCTTTCTAGTGGGCCTCTGTAGCATCCTCCCTTAGGAGCAAATATTCTATTTAAATTATATATAGATGCGTGTGTGTGTTGTATGTGTGTGTGTGCTGACTGACTGCTCGTATCGAGGTATGCCTGTCTACTTGGGTGGCTAGCCAATCCCTGCTACAGAAGCCTGTTCAGGCACATTTGTCTTTGTTCAACATCCACAGAGACTACCTGTGGTTTATACTGCAAGTATGCTGAGCAAACCTTAGTTACAATTTCTAGGAGAGAGCAATCAATAGTCTGGCCAAAGTACACTTAAAACTTTGGCCATGATGACTCGGGTGACTTCATACCAGCACAACCATTGACGGCTCCCATATAGTTTTATTTATACAATTTCATTCAATCCATTGTATGTTTTTCAGTTATTTTCCATAGGTTGATAACATCAAGAAGTCACCTTCCTGATTAATCGACCATGATGATATTCAAACTCAAGTCTTATAGCTGGCCACACGCCCATATATACCAGGTGTAACAGCAATATTGTCCAAATCATATCACAGCATAATTATCTATCCCACAAAATGTTTATTATCTAAAAAAGCACTAAACTAATTGAGTTTCTTTTTCCCAGATTTTCAGATAAGATATTTAATCATTTTGACACCATTTTTCATAAGAATCACTGAAAGACCCTTTAAGTTATTCAGCTAGAAAGAGAGCAGGTTAAAATTGTTTTGTGTCAGCCCCACCGTCTTCCCAACTGAGCAAAGGTTAGAGAAAAATATCATTCAGGCCATCAGTAATGGTACCAACATTCATCCACTGGCTTCCATCTTCAAAGTCCATTCAAGAACCATCAAGAGAACAGTGAATAAGTTTAAAAAAAGAGGGAACAGTAGAGAGGAAAACTGGATCAGGAGGTCACAACAGGAAAAGGGATCATTATTTCAATTTAGAGCTAAAGTGATCAATTAGAAAAGATCCAACTCAATTCATAAGACGTTTGGCACACAAGAATTGTACATGAAACCTGTGAGATAACTTGTTACCCCAGGATAGAAAGAGGGTTAGAGAGGATGAAGATCATCTTGAATAAGTTGGAAAATGATCCAGGAATAATATATATATATATATATTTGAGCTTTATTTCAATACTTCATGATCGTCTGATCCTTAGCTATGATTAATTAATGATTTTCATTTATGATCGATTTCATTACAATACTTTTGTTAATCTTAGAGAGTAATAGTACATTCTTATTGCACAAAGTAGAGTCCAATAGTGTTATAAAACTCTTGGAGAATTCCAGTAAGATATCTTTAATCATTTCTAAGATACAATGCTTAATCTAACAATTGGACAATTTTGCTGTTACACCCGGTATATATCTATATATATATATATATATAATGTGATTCATATTTGCCTCTCCATATTTCATAATAAGGAGGAAAGAGGAAGTTGTAATGAACTGTTCTCAGTGTGAACTAGATACTATTTGTTTACTTATTTAATGTGGCCTTATTTAATATAGGTTCCAAAGTATATTGGTTTCAACACTTTCAATATTTCATTTAACTGAGATATTCTGTAAAGTGCGCACATTTTCTGCTTTTTTTAATTAATGTACATTTTAACAGAATATCAACAATAAAAAAATTGTTCAATTATTTTATTTAGAGCAATAAAAGCAGACATATTAAAAGGCATTTTATAACAAAAAAGAAACAATTCTTAAAAAAGTGTGGTAACAAAAATATATATTACTGTAAATTGGTAATACCGAAATATAACAACAATTAAAAACAGTTGAACTGGTTATTCGGTCCTCTCTCCTTGGAACAAAATAAAAGTGACTAAAAAATATTACTTGAATTAAATCCCTAAGAACTCAGTAACATAAAAAAAGAGGATTTTTTTCTGTAGAGTGGACACTTAATGAGGGGCAGGCAACTCTTTAACTTATATTACAAAATAATTTTAGCATTTATAACTGGAATTAAATATCCTGAAACAGGATGGCAAAAATATGGGTAATTCCAACCCCATTCTTTTACTGATCATTTAAGAAAAACACTAATGTCATCAAAGATAAAAAATATTTATACATTTATCTTACTTTGATGAAGCATTACAATTTCTTCTGGATCCATTTTTAACTTTCCTGCCAAAAATTCCAGTAGTTTTCCTACTGTCTGGCCCAACACACTGGGCACAGTAATTACTTGTTCTGTGGGCAACAGTTTAACTTTCACTAGAGAAGAAAAAATATAAAAAGAGCATTGTAAGAATCATTAAAACATTCACAGAAAATTAATCTTGAAGAAAATTTAATAAGTTATAATTTTAGTTGATATCATGATGTCAATCATAGAAGACATATATGAATAGAAAAAGGAGTACATCTTTGGAATGAAGGCAAAATAAAAGGAGCCAATTTTGAGAGAATTAGAAGTCCTACCAGGATTCATTATTGGTGGCCACAATCTTAACAACAAAAGTGTTGATCACAGACATAGAAAGAAAACTACAAGCACTTCTACAGAAAGTAGTGAAGAAAACTGAGAAAAAAAGGACTAATCATTAATTTCAAGACAGAATGTATGGTTGTTAGCAAAAGGGACAGCCCAATATGCAAATTACAAAATGGAGATGCCAAAATCAAACAAGTACAACAATTTGAATATCTGGAAAATGCTTTAACAGAGGACAAAAAATGCAATACTGAAATCCGAAGACACATTGACATTGTAAAAGATGACTTCCAAAAGCTAAGCAAAGTATTAAGAAAAGGGAAAATGTCATTAGAAAGAAAGAAAAGAGTACTGAACTATGTAGTATCGGTTCTCCTATATGGCAGTAAATGCTGCACAGATGAAGAAGAGACTTGAAGCAACAGAAATGTGATCCTACAGAAGGATGCTGAGAATGCCATGGATAGAACATGTGAGAAACAACAAAGTTTTAGAGAAAATGGAAACAAAAAGGATAGTTATACTTAACATCAGGAAGAAATAGTTGAAATTCCTAGGGCACATAATAAGGAAAGAAGGTTTGGAAAATTTGATACTCATAGGACAGATTGAAGGCAAGAGTGACAGTGTAAAAGAGGGTGATTCTGAGAGAATTAGAAGTCCCACCAAGATCCATTATTGGTGGTCACAATCATAAAAACATATGCAGATGACACAGTGTTGATAGCAGACACAGAAAGGAAACTACAAGAACTCTTAGAGAATGCAGTGAAGAAAAGCAAGAAAAAAGGGTTAAACATCAAATGGAAGAATATAGAATGCATGGATGTTACCAAAAGGAACAGCCCAACATGCAAATTACTAATTAGAGATACCAAAATGAAACGAGTTCAAAATTTTAAATATCTAGATAGTGTTTTAACAGAGGACAGAAAATGTGACACTGAAATCCAAAGACACATTGGGATAGAGAAAGATGCCTTCCAAAAGTTAAATAAAGTATTAAGAAAAAGGAAAATTTCAAACAAAGAAAACAGTATTGAACTGAGCCGCATGCAGCTCTTTGACCTTTAATATTGCGGCTCGTGGATATATGCCTGCTGAGATCCTTTTTTTCATCACAGTTAATATAAAAGGTAAATAACAAAAATTTCAAGCATTATAATTATTTACTGTGCATAAATTGAGACCCCAGTGGATTAAAACATAGGTTTAATGTTCATGGTTAGTAAAAAATATTTAAGAATTTAAATCCTAATTTTATGTGTTGCAGCTCTCATACATCTGGACTTTGTTGTATGTGACTCTTGCATTAAATAAGTTTGGCCATTTCTGTATTATAATATTAATAAATGACATATATATAGCAGGAAACAAGGTTTATATAGTCATTGTAGTCTTTATATAGCAGGAATTAGCATTTATATAGCTGTCATCGTCCTGTGGTAGGTACAAAATAATAATAACTCCTTTTACCCATCCCTTTAAATTCAGGTGAACTGAGAAAAAAGATAGAAGAAAATTTGCGAGCCTATGTGAAATTTCTTTGGACCAATGCAAACTTTGATTTTGCAGACATTGGCCAGTGACCTGAGAAAAAGAGCAAAACAAATTTGTGAGCCTATGTGAAATTTCCTTTGGACCAATGCAAACTTTGATTTTGCAGACATTGGCCAGTGAGCTGAGAAAAAAAGCAAAACAAATTTGCAAGCCTATGTGAAATTTTCTTTGGACCATGGAAAACCTTGTTTTCACAGGATTTAACCGTTATGATTAGAAAAAAAAATAAAATAATGAGCCTACTTTTGATTTGTCCTGGGTATAACGATAAACTACATCAGCATCCTGGGTAAAACAATAGACTATGTCCAACAGCAAGGCCTCTGATCAGGAGGTTTTGAGGAGCATGGAACCACCTCTTAATTGCTGGCGTTCCCAGGTCCACTCTGACCCGGAGTGGTAGCACCTGTTAGGGTCCCAGCTATAGGCAAATAGTTAACATCTGAACTTGTGTAAAAATAGGCTTTAATACCAGAAATACTTTGTAATAAAAAAAATTATTACCAGCAATAATTTTTGAAGGAAAAATTATTATCAGCAATAAATTAAAAAAATAAATACCAGCAATACAAACAGTTATACATTCTTTGAAAAAAATATGACCAGCTATAGATTTCTTCAAGGAAAAATATTCCCAGAAATATTCATTACAATACTTTTGTTAATCTTAGAGAGTAATAGTACATTCTTATTGTTCAAAGTAGAGTCCAATAGTGTTATAAAACTCTTATATATAAGAGGTATATTGCAAATATAGAAATGGTACGTTAATGGCTTTCAGTTATAAAAATTTTAAATAACCCATTGAGGTTGATATGCCGTAAAACAAAATAAACCAAATCAAACCAAACCTACTTTTGATATAAAATAAGGAAGAAAATTTAAATTAACAAGAGAAGAGTGTCTGAAATTATGTGAAAAGTTTAAATTGTGTTCACACAGCTAGCCTTCAGATTTTCGCCAGTTTAAAATTTTTCACCAATTATATTATTGCCCTTAACCACGCAGCACTTCAAAAAACTTCATTTCAACAATCTGAGAAAACTAAGTATTTTAAACCATTTCTCTTGGTCTACTTTTGAACATATGCAAACCATATATCCCTTGTGTGAAAAACAAACTTTCTTAACTTCATTTTAAACATCTTTTAATATTATTTTGTGTCAGATCATTTAATCTGTTGTATGAACATTTCCTTTTCATGACAATTCGTTGAAACTGTATACTTCAAAAAATTTCTGATTTATTTTCCTGAAACGAGCTACTGACACAACTTCAAGCATTTAAATTCATAAATAAATTCCTCTTTGTGCTTTGTTAAAATTACCTGTCTGTCTCCTTATTATTATAATCCTCCTTCGTTAATCTTCTTGGTATGGGTAAATCAATTGTTCATTTTAATCCCAAAGTACCATACTCCTATAGTCCTTATATAGCATAAAATAATCTTTAGAATAAAGCTCTATAAAAAAAATGAAATACTTCTCATACATACTAATGAATACTGAATTTGGTGCATTACAAACCTGTGACACTTGCATTTGGATCAGGTATATCCGACATAGACAAATCTTCTGTTGCTACATTTTCCTTGCTTTCACTCGTCATGTCTTCTTTGCTTTTCTTTGGCATATCTATAATTACAGATTGAAATATTGATTTACCTCTGGAGCAAACATAATTTTGTTTATATTCAAATAAAAGAAAATGTGTACCTACCATAGTGTAATAATCAGCAACCTTCTCTGTTGGACTGGTTCTACCAGAATAGCACGTTCAGTTTTAACTGGGTACTTCATGGTTTTGCGATAGACTAAACTAAGCTTAAAAAATGAGAGTGCATAGGGGGGTCAAAAACTAATATTTATTTGGGGGCCTATTTAAATTAATTGGTCCCCTAAAAAATTCTGGTTAAACCTTTTACCATTTCTAAATAAATCAACAGAACATGTACATGGATAAATAGAAAAACATTAACAATTATTTTTTAATATAAGATTTAAACAAAACAACTGAGATACAAAAAAAAAAGAATTAAGTTGGAGCAATTTAAAGTTGATTAATAAAAAAAAGTTTTGTGTGAAATGAATGTTTCATTTAGATGAGTTCAGATAAAAGTCAGTATGTAAATGCATGAAAAGAGGGGATTTACACACATACATACATACAGAGTGAGAGAGGGAGATACATTTACATACACTAGACTTGGCTGTGTGCTTTTGTCGGTAGAAACGGGATAGACGATTGAAGACAGTTTCTTTGAAATTGCTGGTAGCTGAAAACAAAATCCTTATGAAAGCAAGTGTCTCTCGAATTTTTCATTGCCAACCCTGTTTTAATTGGTAGATTATTTTTCTTCTCTGTCATGTGGTATGATTCTATACTACGTCCGCAAAAAAAAAAAAAGAATTCAATGAAACTGATTTTGTAATTTTCAAAATGTGAGGAACGAACGTTGTTTCTAGTTCTTGTGTCGGTATTTGTATGTGTGTGTAGCCCACAGTGACTACTATCGCGTGATGGTTAACAAGTTTGAGTAATAATGTAGTAGCTATTTTGGTGGACAAATTGAATATTAAAATGAAGTTTTTATGCTACAATATTAACAAAATTTATTTTAACAAACATCGAGTTTAAAAATGGGAAACGTTCAATAGTGAGCCATTTTTCGAGTTTAGTGATATCCGGTATGCAAGTTAAGTGTATTTTTCGGTGCACCCCACGTCATTAAGGAATGTGACACAAGGTCGAAATCTAATGTGGATTGACCGTCAATACTGTGGAAAAATTGTTCAAGCTCCCTCGGCACGTCCCATCTGTGGGGACATCTGAGGCGCCAGATAATTGATCCATCCCTCTTCCGAAGGGGATATACTGCCCGAGATGATACCACCCTGGGGCTTAAGCTAATATTATTTTCAACTGGCAGAAACCAGGTAAGTATGAATGTTAAGTACGTTAATGGCTTCGTCTAGCCTGAAATGGGAACGTGGCCGAGTGTTTAGCGATGGATAATATATACGAATGCCATCTGCGGTCTGGGTAAAACTTGAGTCCCAATAGACGTTCAAAGTAGGGAACCTCATTGAAAGGGTCTGCTTCGCGATGATGAAACGTTGCTCGCTTGGTTTTGGGGGTGTTGAATGTTACGAGCCGGTTTTTTTTTACCCCATTGATCTGCTTGAGCTAGGATTTATTATCGGTACGTGAACTAGAAATTGGAGATGTCAACATCGAGCAAATATAGAAATTTAAATATCCGACAATGCCAAAATCCGAATGAGCATTTGGATAGTGAAAGATGCCTTACAGAAGCTAAAGAAAGTACAAAGAAACAGGAAAATTTCATTAGGAACAAAGAAAAAGAGTGCTGAACTGCTGTGGCAGTCAATGCTGGACGATCTAACTACGGATGAAGAGAAACCTGGAGGAAGCAGAAATATGGTTCTACAGAAGGATGCTGAGAATTCTGTGGACGGAGCGAGTAAGCAACGAAGAAGCCTTAAAGAAGATGGCAACAGAAAGAAAACTTATATTCAGAATCAGGAAAAGATCCCTGAAATTCCTTGGACGCATAATGAGGAAAACTTCACGAGGCATATCGAGGGGAAGAAAGAGCGAGGAGGGCAGCGAGTCACCTACCTGATGAAATTGTGTGAATGGAAGGTGGAACGGAAAACCGGAGGCTTGACAAAGGGGAAAAAAAAACGTTAAGAGCCACCCGGACAGGAAGCTATGTATAGCGAAGAAAACGGCGACTTACCTCGTCAAACCAAGCGACAGTGCGTCGCGTGTATTCTACGATGGAAAATGTGGCGAAAAAGAAAATTACTTACCAAACAAAAGGGCACGTATTCTGCATGACATGCTGAAGATGGAATATTTGAATTAAAAAAAAACAAGTCCGTCGCAGGAGTCGCTATAAAAGTATGTTCATATGCAAATTACCGAACATCCTCTCCCAGTTGTCGACAAATGGAAAAAAATGTTCAGCCGATAAAAGCAGTTGGTGTTCTCGAATCAGGGATGAAATTCGGGTATTTTGGCTATTTTGTTGGAGAATGAGTTATTTTTCTGACTGGTTGCGTGCATTGTGATTTGTGAGATAGTAGCTGCGAATAGAGTTTTCAGCATTTCTTTCTGCCCTCGATGTTCGAGTCTGAACTTAGTGATTTATTCTCTGTGACGTGGATATAGTCTGCGACAAACATTTCCTTTGTAATCCCAGATCGCTATGAAGAGTCATGATCAGGTACGTCCTGAAGGAACACAGCACACAGAAGAAGAAGATTTCAGGGAGGCCCTTGTTGGCATTTGTTGCATGTGATTGAGCACCTTCCGACGTGTGATCGTGTATTGTAGGTTACAAGGCTTAATGCTTTCTCTAGGATAGTTGTTCTTAACCTTTTTTGAGTCACGGACCTCTTGAGTCACGGACCCCTATAAACACTAGCTCTTCATAGACAGATACTCACAATCTGATTAGTTTCTCACAGTACCTGTACGTGCATATCTACATACGCAACCTCGTGCACACTGTACACACATCACTTTTCAGCTAGTCACGTTTAAAAGAAATTGTGATCAATTAATCCTCACCAGTAGATGTGAAGATATTCAAGCCTCGACAAACCGTGCAAAATGAGAATTATCACTTGTTCTTTTGGAGTGACAAAATATGGCGGTCGTGCAGACAAATGATGACACACGTTTAAATAGTAAACATGGACCCAACAGCAAGTCAAGTGACGCCTAGCAGTCGGCACTGTAAAGTCGTGACTGGGTGCGTTTTCTTTCAAGCAGTGGTAGGATGCGTTTTCTTTTATTTCTGTTAATATAAAACCGTTGATTGGGACAAGGGCGGTATAACGATGATAAATGTTAATGGGCCCCGTGAACCTGCTAGGGCCTCATGGACCCCAGGTTAAAAAGCCCTGCTCTAAGGCTTCCTTCTTCGTAACATGATCCCTCCAGGAGATGGACAGCATGGTCCTCAAGTAACGTCTACGGAAAACGCCTACAAGCCTGCAGATTATAAGCGAACGTTTCGTATTGTTTTGCTTTGGCCCTGCTGGAGACATTTACATTATGTGATTATCGTATTTTGTAGCAGGGGTTCTAAATGTCAGGCAAAATGTGAGACTATCCAAAAATGGTCAGTGTGAGAATTTTCAAATTTTTCTTTGTAGTTCAAATATTATTCACAAGAATATCACAAAATTGTGATAAAATGGACGTCTTGTATCTAGTTATTTTTTTATAAAAACAATTCTTTAATTCTCCAAACATTCATTAAAATAGCTGTGCTCATTATTTTTGAGAATGAAAGTAAATTCATATAACGAAAAGATTTATTGAACTTAATCTCTTTTTACACAGGCAAATGTGTAATATTTATCGTCTTACTAGTCTTTTACCTCCTTTTGGCAAGGTACTAGAGGTTCTAATCAACTCCTAATTGGTTAATCATCTTACTTTACACGGCATTCTTTTAGATAAACAATATGGTTTTTGATTTTCTAGGTCATTTGCTGATATGTTAACGGCTGTTACTAGTTATTTGTCTATCAAGCTTTAGATAAAAATGGCGAAGCTGGGGATGTTCTTATTTAGCAAAATAAATGGTAGAAAATGGTAACCAGGAACTACCCTGCTCCTAGATAATTCGGTTCACAACCCATCCATTCTAACAATTGGCACAAGCACCATAAGAACTCATCCACACTTTAGATAAGGATGGCAAGGCTCGGGGTGTGGCTTTAGATATCTCGAAAGCATTTGACGTGGTTTGGCATTTAATTTAATCCATTAGCTCTTAACAATACGGGTAATTAAAACCGTATTGAACGACCACTCTTGTAGATCCTTTCACATTAAAGCAGGGTCCCCCAGGGCTCTATCCTTAGACCTACGTTGTTTCTTATCTTTATCAACGACTTTTCCGATGTTATCAATTCCCAGCTAAGTATTTATGCTGATGACACAGCTCTTTACTCCTGTCAATCAGTAAATCAGCAGCTGCTCTTGAAAATGACCTCCAGCCAGTTCTTAATTGAGGCAAGGAATGGCTTGTAAAATCTAACGTCCCCAAAACGAAACAACTATTTTTTTAATCAGCTCAGATAACCCTTTTTGCCTTCCATCAGCGTGGCTGATGCTAACCTCTAGAAAATCAACTCATTTCGCCCTCTTGGTTTCAAAGTTTTCCACTGACATGGCGTAGAGTGTTATATTGAATCAATTGCTAGATCTACTGCTAGGAAGGTTGGTTCATTCTGTCGTGCCAGACAATATTTCTCGCTAGAATCCATCTTTCACACTTATAAATCTACCATTCATCCGTGCATTGGATATGGCTGCCATGTCTGGTGTAGAACTCTTACTGTATATCTCGGGATTCAGAACAAAACCCAAAGAAGCGTCTGCAATTTAATCGGTCGTAACCTGACTTCAGTCACTTTCCCACCACCGTAACATGGCCCCCTCTGTCTTTTCTATAAATATTTCCGTGACAATTGTTCTAATGGGGTCTAATACGGTTTTAATTACCCGAATTGTTAAGAGCGAATGGATTAAATTAAATGGCACACCACGTCAAATGCTTTCGAGATATCTAAAGCCACATCCCTAACCT